CTTGTCATTCTGTAAAACCTGCAAGATATGCATGGTAATTTATGTAGAAATAAACACAACATTTTCAGTGTTCAGACTGCCTACCTGATTTCTGCTAAGTGCAGGTCATGTACTTTGAAGCTATGATGTTTTATGTCCTGACATCCAGGCGAGTCTTTCAAAAAGACTAGTTTCAAAGCAAACATGATGGAGTGATTGCCCCATCAAGAGGAACTTCCTAAAAATAGTTCTTCCCTCTCTGAGTAGGTATGAGGAGGTTTCCATGACAGATGGGGGAGCTGTTTGTATGTACCATCTCTTGTTTATAGCCACACGTATTCCAAACAAATGGGAAACCTGAGGCAGAGTTAATTTCCTGTCCTATTTCTTGCCTCCTGTGTTTGTGCATAATGGTACCAGGGTGCTCTCCGAATGCAGTGAAGGAGATGAGAGGCCCACAGTCACTGCAGGCTTCTGTCTTCAGGAACACATTTTAGATGGATCATAGCTGTTTAAGGCTGGTGTAAAGCTAGATGGCTGAAGAGTTAAACTGGAATGATTTTTCAGGGTTAGAGCCCTAGTGACATGATTTTTCTGAGGCACATGGAAATGAATAAACCCCTTATTTTGTTGAGGGTAGAATGTGTGGAAAATGAGGTATTTTTCTTCATTTGGAATGAATTTGGAAGGAGTGTAGGAATTACAGCAAAATCTGACCTATAGGTTGGCAGACTTCACAGATTGATGTTGCTGTGCAGGTTGAGGCAGTGGTAGATTTGTAGCTTACTGTCCTGGCTCTATTTTTAGTATCTGCTTGCAAGTTCCATTTACAAATGTCAGGAAAATGCATTAGGATTATCTGCTTCATTGTAGAGGTAATAAAATGCTGTCCAGTTTAGCCAATAAAATAATTAAAAGCAGGCTCCCACGGTCATGGCAGTGCAACTGCTAAATGTATACAGTGGCTCCACAGGATTTTTAAGATGCATATTCTGTTCTTTCCTCATTGCTTGTTTCCCGCCATTGTACTGATTGTGCTGATTCAATATGAGGATTAGTTTTTAATTGTGGGTTTTTTTTGTTTGTTTGGGTTTTTTTTGTCTTTTTTTTGGGGGGCGGGGGTATGTTTTGTTTTTACATGAGAGGCTCATCTGAGAATAACTGAAAATATGTGTTGAGAAAGAGGAGGGTGAGGGTTCAGCAAAAGCTCTGTGATCCATTTCCTGCAGTGCCGGACATTGATACATTGCTTCTGGAGCACAGCAGTGATTCTGGAGGCAAAAGGAGACTACTGGTTATTCGTTTGCACAGGGATTTCAAGTGCTTGGATGCTAAAAACTGCTGAGAACACCTAGAAGTCCCTTCAGCTTCAGTGCCTAGAATGGGAACCAGTTGTCATCTTTAGAGGATATAGTCAGTCTGTGGCAACCTGTATTGAGAGATATACCCTGTAAGCCAATATTAATAGAATCATAGAATGGTTAGGGTTGGGAGAAACCTTGAAGATCATCTAGTTTCAACCCCCCTGCCATGGGTAGGGACACCTTCCACTAGACTAGGTTGCTCAAGGCCTCATCCACCCTGGCCTTGGACACTTCCAGGGATGGGGCAGCTACAGCTTCTCTGGGCAACCTGTTCCAGTGTCTCACCACCCTCAGAGTAAAGAACTTCTTCCATATATCTAATCTAAATCTTCCCTCTTTCAGTTTCAAGCTGTTTCCCCTTGCCCTATCAGTAACTGCCCTTGTAAAAAATCCCTGCCTAGCTTTCTTCTAGGCCCCTTTAGGCACTGGAAGGCTGCTCTAATATCTCTCCAGAGCCTTCTCTTCTTCAGGTTTTCAGGAACAATGCCAGCTCTCTCAGCCTGTTTTCATAAGAGAGGTGCTGCAGCCCTCTGACTACCTTCATGGCCTCCTCTGGAATTGCTCCAACAAGTCCGTGTCATCCTTATGTTGGGGGCCCTGCATCTGGACACAGAACTTCAGGGGGGGTCTCATGAGAGCAGAGTAGAGGGGTAGGATCACCTCCCTCGACCTGCTGGCCATGCTCCTTTGGATGCTGTCCAGTACACAGTTGGCTTTCTGGACTGTGAGCGGACATTGCTGGGTCATGTTGAGCTTCTTATCAACCAACACCCCGAAGCCCTTCCCCTCAGAGCTGCTCTTAATCTAGTCTCCACTCAGCCTGTATTTGTGCTGGTTGCAGGACCTTGCACTTGGCCTTGTTGAACTTCAGGAGGTTTACACAGGCCCATCTCTCCAGCTTGTCAAGGTCCCTCTGGATGGCATCCCTTCCCTTCAGCGTGTTGACTGCACCACGCAGCTTGGTGTCGTTGGCAAACTTGCTGAGTCCATGGTCGTGTCACTGACAAAGATGTTTTGCAGCACTGTTCCCAATGACAACCTCTGAGGAACACCACTTGTCACTGGTCTCCAGTTGACATTGAGCCAGTTCCCTATCCACCGAGTGGTCCTTCCATCAAATCCATACCTCTCCAGTTTAGAGACAAGGATGTCTTGCAGCACAGAGTGCAATGCTTTGCACAAGTCCAGTTAGATGACATGAGTTTCTCTTCCCTTATCCACTAATGCTATGATCCTGTTGTAGAAAGCCACCAAATTTGTCAGGCACGATTTGCCCTTAGTAAAGCCATAGTGGCTGTTACCAGTCATCTCCTTTTCCATGTACCTTAATATAGTTTCCAGGAGGATCTGCTTCATGATCTTACCAGGCACTGAGGTGAGACTGACAGGCCTGTAGTTCCCTGGGTCTTCCTTTCCTTTTGCAGTTGAGTTCTCTGCCATAGAGCCTAGACTCATGGACAAATGTCTTGTTTACACTGGGACAAAACCACTGGTGAGCTTTTCGGCCGAACTTGTCAGCTAGAAGTATTAATGAGCTAAAGTCAAGGCTGAAGGTGCTTCAGTGTTGTTATTTGACTGAAAGTCAAATAGGTTTTTCCCTTTAGAAAGCCAGTATGTAAATAAATAATATTAAAATACTATTTTCTACAGTGCTAAAATGGTCATTACTACTTTTATTATGGCCTTGTACCACTACAAGTTAGTACTGTAGGGTACCAGTCCTTGGAAAGTCTTTCCTCCAGTCGTATTCACTAGCTAGCAAAAAGGTTTAAGCAGACTTGCGGCACTGTTAGTTAATACTTGTTTTTCATTACTGTTTTAGATAGCTCAGGTGAAACAGATTGTGTGTTAGTGCTGTGTGTGTCACTGTGTGTGTGGATATTCGCTGTGGTAGAATACATAAAAATAAAGACAGTTCTCTCATGTTAAAACCTTATGCTGTAATGTATGCCACCTAGAGCACTCTTAAGGTGTGGCTATCTGTATGCACCTCATCACCCTTAGAAATTATATATTCATTTTTAAGGGAACCATAGAGTTAATTTGATTTAAGTTTGGATTAGAGTGGGGAGAAAAGCTGACAACTTAATAAAATCTGAGTAGCTAATTTTACTACAGAGGCAGGCTAGAAGTAGGAGTAGAAGTGTGGCTTTGAACTGCAAAATATGAGAGCAGTAATGACAGGAACATTGCAAGCTTGTGTGCCTGTGAATGCCCATACTTTTTTTTGGTGCAGCTTCTGTAGGTTTTGAAACTGTCCTCTAAGGAGGCATACAATGAAGATTTGGTATGTAATACATTATTATGCAGTGAAGTGTTCAAATCTGTAGCTGGATCACTGCAAGCTAGTATCAGCTTGTCAAGTGCGGCTCTTGCCAGGCAAGTCTGACCAAGAAATATAACTTCATTTTTCACCTAGGAGTTGAAGTGTGGGAAATCATGATTTAACAATGAGAGGGAGGTGTACATCCATACTGTTTCCCATTTGAGAAAATGGGAATCTGGAAATGAACTTGATGACTTCTCTATGTCAACTATATTAATAAAGTCCAAATATTTGTGATGTCCAGCATACTTGTGGCCACAGTTAGGTCTTAGATCAATATGAAAAGGGTTATTTTTTCCAAGATTTTAATTTCTGTTTATCCAGATAAGTGCCACAGAACCACAGCTTGCTGTTACTGGAAAGAACAATCAAATCATAGGAGCTCTGTTCTGCCAAGCTGTTCTAATGAATACTGGAATACTGAAAACTAGAATTGTGTTTGGCAGTCTGAGATTGAGAAAGTCATTGATGGGTGTGGTTCTTTTTTTTAGTTCAAGTATTTTTATTTTTACAAAAATGTATTTATCTTAGTAAGTTAATATCTGTTCATAGAAGAGTAATAAAATTAATCCTTTTAGGCTTTATCCCAAGCTGTCTTAATACTGGAGCTGGAGTTCTGTGTGTTTTATTCAGGGAGCACAGGTTCAGTTAGTTGTGTTCTCACTGGATAGTCTGCAAAACACAGCAAGTAGGCTGGAGCTGCTCAGTGCCTGAGAGCTTGACACAGCCACAGTGTTGTTTTTAGCACGTGAGAGTTTCAGTTTGATGAAGTCGCATCTCCAGAAAGTGGTCTCTTCTGTTGCTGCCTGCTTCTCACCTGATGTTCATCTGGCCTACTGAAAGGTACCTGCCACATTACCTCCTAGAATTTGGAACGGTGAGATAGCAGAATTAGGTTGCACAGAGTAAAAGTGATGTTAGACCATTTTTGAAGTCTCATTTATTTTTTTGAGGCAGTATGCAGTCAAAATTGGAGCTGGCAATTTTTTTTCCTACTAATGATTTTTCCATTGGAAATAACTATGATGGAATTCGAAGCAATTCTTGGGGCTGTGTGAATTGCTGTTGGGATTTTTGTCAAAAAGGTGGCAGTCAAAAAGTCTGGATGGGCCTTCAAAGTTTTCTGTCAGCCAGTTCAGATGGACTTTTGTGCCGAGCCAGGGAGCGCTTTGAGAAATGTTAAGTTTTCTGAGAGTTCGAAGTTTGGTTAGGTGATTCTAGTGGGAACTAAGCCCATATGTTGAAAATAGTTTTGTAATTCTTGGATGAGAGAAGAAGAAAGGATACAAAAAAGATTTAAAGTGATTCTAATAATATTTCCTTTCCTTTAGCTGTCTCCGTAATGAGATACAGTGCATCATCATTTGGATTTGCTGTAAGTAAAGATACAATTTAGATATTCTCTTACCTTTTTTCTTCCTCTCCCAACATAGAATACTGTATTTTTTTGTTAAAAATTCATGACAAGGTGTATGAAGTCAATGATGGATTAGATAAAATACTGTTGAACTCACACCTAGTAAATGAAAGTAAAGATGCTTTGGTTATACTTTTTCAGTTTCTGACTACTAAGCCTTAAATTGGAGTTAATATCAATGCTTACATCTTGTCATCGATAGCTGTTATCCACCAGATATGTTTTTGATATTTTTGTTCTACAAAATCTCTCATCTTAATCAGTTCCGTTATTTAACTTGAGCCCAACTCTGAAGTTCCCTTCTGAACTTTGTGTATCCCTTTTCCTGTTGAAGTCTATGGTAAAACTCCAATTGACTTTAGGATGACAGCTTTCATCTCTAGTAGTTGCCCTGACTTTCCTGATCAGTGACAGAAGAAAGAACTCCCCGAACAAATAAAATGACTGATGTAACATAATTTATCTTGCTTTCAAATTTGGAGGTTATATTGACTCTGTAGAAAGTTTGACTTAAGGATGAATATTCTTGCAGTGGACAAGCCTGGTTTTTGGTGTTACCTGCCATCATGTGTTCATTAATTGGAAATACAGACAAAACCTTCTATTTCAGAAAATTAATGACTTTGCCAGAAAAAGAAATCCTTGACAGGCATTTTCAAACACTGTTTCTTTTTTTTTTAAGAGTCTTTGTATAAGAATTATATTAATATTTCAACTCTTATGGTGCCACAATGGCAGACTGGTGGGTTGGTTTTTTTTTTCCTTAATTTCTCTGGAGGTGATGGATTAAAATAGAAAGTTTTTCTCTGGAGGTGATGGATTAAAATAGAAAGTTTTTAATCCCTTGATTGACTTCCTGAGCTCTGAGGTGTATAATTGGGCAATAATACATGGCAAAACCATGAAGATTAATGTGATAAATGTAAATTCTTCTTTCATTAAAATGGTTTATTTGAAGCTGCTTTCTGCCTGTGCAGCAGGATAGGAAATGCATTACCACTAGTACAGGACACATTTAATGGTCCACAAAACAATTGACTCTGTATCTCTTTCAGTTCGACGCTACCCTGGATGTTTTGTCTTCAGCGATAGTTTTGTGGCGTTACAGCAATGCAGCTGCTGTGCATTCTGCACACAGGGAGTACATGTAAGTACACTTAATTACATTTGGCTTTGGTAGAGGCCTGTAGAGCTTTTGCTGTCAAGCTGTGATGCTACATGTTCCAGAGCTTTGACAAAAAACATTTTGTCATGTCAGTAAGTATTCTTTCCTTCTGCCAATTTACTGTTTGGTCCCAAACATGCAGCCTTTCCTTAGGCAAACCTCCCTGTGATTGTGATTTTCAGGTTTTTTTGTTAGCCAAGATAGTAATTGCTAGGGAGTCACATTTTTTTTTTCCCATTACAATCTGTAATGGATTTTAAAATATTTTGTTTTGCATCTTACTCCATTAATCTTACTAGGTTATGTTTTTAAAATTGATGCTTGTATATTTGTGCTTCCCTTAACAAGATTGGAATATGAACCCCTTCTGTTTGAATGTAAATCACTTCAATTGCTAGTGATATCACAAGCTGAGATTACAGAACATCTGTGAAGATTGAGACTGTATTAGTGATAAGATAGTAGGGTGACACAGTTTATTATAACTGCTATACAAAGAGCTAGACACACCCTTTTTGTTACAGAACTGTCACTGTTTTGGTAAGTAAGAGTGTATCAATACTTGTATATCTTTTTTATGGAACAAAGTATATGCTTGCAAAGTATGCATATTTAATGCTTGCTATATAGCTCCTATGGAAAAAAGTCTTTAATTTGCAGTGCAGTATTGATCACATTGAAAATTGTATTCTGCATCAGTGTTCATTGTGCAGCATTTCTATTGGCAATGCATGTGGTAACTGGGAAGATCAGCTGGAGATTGGCTCAAGAATTATTCAAACTAGCGCACAAGGAAGATTTTAATCTCCTGCTCAAATTTTGGGTACATCTAGATGGAGAATTGCAGTACATTTGTCTGCTTTGGTTTTGTTCTGTGCTGCCGTTGCTCGCAGTATCCCATCTGGCTTGTTCGAAGATAGTTAAACTATCTCCTGGAATGGACTACAGTTTTGCAATAAGGAAGTACCTTCTACAAGAAGGGAAGCCTGGTGAAACTCAGCTACATAACTGATAGGATCAAGTTTAAAAAAAAAAAAAGTGGGGGAAAAAAAAAAGTCACACAGAGGGGGACTGTAATTTGTCTTCATAGTCCTTCACTAAAATCCAAGAAAACAGTAAGCAGTATTCTTACATGCATCATACATTAACTCAGGCTCATGCAACAGCTTGCCGGTGCTGTGTGTTCCTTTTTGGCAGGGCTCCATGCATAACAGTTTGGAATAAAAGGCCAAAGAAGATTGATGTGACATTGATTCATAAAAATAAATCCAGAAATATGTGATTAAAATTAGTCTTCCTGCACAAATTTGGAGATCTTAACAGATATTTCCTGAGTATCTTGCTTTTGTGGGCGTCCACAGAGATTCCTGTCAACATTCAATTAACATATTTTTGAAATCTCCTTCTGTTGAGCTTTTTCAAGTGAACCTTGTAAAGTACTTTATAGAGAAAATAAATCCCAATAGAAAAGAAGCAGCAACATATCCCTACGGCTAAGCCAGTAAAGTGAACAAGCAAAGCAGCAGACATATTTTTCTGCTTTTTATGCTCATTTTTAATTTGCTTTCATGTAATCCCTCTGCTTTACATAAGGCTAAATTAAGTCAATGAATTACTTGCCATGCCCTCTAATTGAAGACAGCTAAGGTTGCTCGATGAGATCAGTACTGCGTTAAAGAGTGTTACCATATGCTAGGAATATGAATCACTGGATAAGCAGTCTGATTATCCCTCCATTTCTAGAATAGACAGGAAAATCATCATGTACTGACAAGCAAAGAGATGGTCATGTCTCTTAAGGCAGTTCTTACTGTGTCAGATTTTTGAGGGAGACACACTTCTAATTTCCTGTTGTGTTTAATCAACCTCTTGCTTGAAAGACTGAATGTAATTATTTTTCCTCTGTGCTGGGAAAATGTTTCATGACACCTCTTGGCTGCTTGCTTACCTTGAAATCTTCGTATCATATGTGCCTATAAGCACACCTGGTCTTTCACAGTCCTTGTTTTGTGCCAGTGCTTCAGTGGGGAACTCTGCTTTCATACTCCCAGACAGTTTGGTGAAATTTGTGTAGGTGCTTAGGTTACGCTGTGTGTTATTCCTGTTTCTGTGTGTCTAGCCATACTTTGCCTTAGTGCCGGAGCCTTAGTGCAAGACTCTAGGTTTCTGCAAAAGCGTTACTACTGTTTACCAGAATAAGGTGTTCCAGAGTGACTTCAGTTTAGTTTTTTACTTACAGGTCTGTTTTTTATTGGTTTAAATATTACATTTGTCTGTGTATCCTAACATGTCTGAAAATAACCTGAGTTCCTTATGAAGGCCAAGTGGAATTGCCAGTTATGTATTGCAAATTTATAAAACTTCCAGTTTCATAAACTTGACAACAAGAGGTTGAGCCAACAAGTGTTGAAATCAGTGGAAAGCCTCTCATGGAGGAGCATTATTAGATCAATTCCTAACTGCTGGATGTTGTTTAGAGAGAACATAAAGATAGAATGAAAAACAAAACACCAGAAAGAGACACAGATAGTACAGTCTGACTCAGATTGTGCCATGAATTAAATACTTAGAATAAAACGCTAAGATGTGAAAGAACTGCGTAATCTTACTTAAGATGTAGCCATATGGAAGCTAAAGATGCAACATTTCATGCGCTGGTACTTGGAATGAACTGTACAAAACTCCTTGCTGTGCCAAGTCCTGCTAAGCTGAACCAGTGTATTTCCATTTGACTTCAGGGGAATTGTAATGCTGAAACTATCATCTGAATTTAACTCAGTTGAATGGGTTTCATTTTTACTAGAGCATTTGATTTCTCTCTTTTTCTGGGGCAAGATGAGAAGGTACTCCCTCAGTGTACATATGACCAGAGTTACACAGTGTACCTCTTTGTTGATTCTCACAGTGGTTCATGTGTAGTAACTGTGACATATATTTTAAGTTGCCTCTGCAATTTGCTCTTGAAAATTCCTTGGTACTGATGGCCTGAGAAACTAAAGCTGGCAGGCTTTTCAAGTCTTTTATTGATGGGAATTTTTCTTAAGTCATCGTGGAAAGGCGTACCTGGTTATGTTGAAGGTATATCTAAATTATGATGCAATTATGACATATTTTATGTTTTATTTTTAAACATACCAGGTGGTTTTGAAAGAATAATGAATATT